ATATTTTGTAATAAATTGATAATTCTCCATTTCAGATAGTTTAATCTAACTAAAGTTCTCATAAGAACAAAAAACAAAAAAAAATTAATAAAAAATCTAATTTCAATCTGATTGAGATATGTTTTTAAAATATATTGGAATGAGTACTATTGTACAATCAAGCAAAAATTATTAGAACTAATTGTTTTCACGAAATTTAGGCATAAACAAAATAACTCAATCAAAACGTTTTGTGCTCATGAGGTTTCACATTGAGAATGACCATATTTTTCTGCTATATGTTCTCTCTTGGGCCTCATATGGCAGAATAATAATAAAACAAAAGAGAAAAATAAAACTAATTTACATTATTACACATTAAAAGAGTGAAGTTGTTTCATAACACACTTTTATATAATTTCAGGAAAACTCAGTTATTATATTCAATTGATCAGGTACTACCTACCGTTGACACTATATTAAAGTAACGAATGTGAACCCGTTTAATGTTGCACATTCGTTACTATAACATAGTGTCGATGATATCATGATACCCTATTTATCAAACATATTGAACTCCCCTACAGATAAGAATTCTCACCAAACCAATGTACTCTTTATCTAAGTTATCATTGTATTATTTCTTGACCATTGATAAGTTTCTATCAATTACTCTACATGAAAAATGTATTAGTAATAATAATAATAATAATTACATTTTATTTATTCTGGGACGAGTCCCTTTAGAATAATACAGAAGGACATAAATATGGGCTGAGGAGCCTCAGAGATACATAAATAAAGATACAGAGTAATTAAACAGTCATAGAAATAAAATTAAAAATTATAAGTTACTTTCTAATTTTAATCAGTAAATAATTAAAATTAAAAAATTAAATAAAAATAACGAAGTAAAAATAATGAATAACGAGATAATAATTTATACACATATTTACATTCGTATCTATTTACAATTTCATGGGGACTGGATGGATAAGAAATGATTGAACAGACGGGATTTAAAGGTAGGAAGGGTATTAGATTGTCGAATGTGAGAAGGGATGGAGTTCCAAAGGGATAAGGATCGGATAATGAAAGATCTGTCGAAAGCAGCGGTTCGGTGGGCCCTTATGTATAAGTCAGAAGACCGGGAACGAGTATTACAGGAACAAACAGTGGATTTGAATTGAAGGAGCTCAGAGATGTATGAAGGGCGGTGTGATTAGATAACTTGAAAGAAGAAGGATTCCAGGAAATATTTACGACGGTAGGAAGGATAAAGCCACTTCAAATCTGCATAAAAATGTGAAACAGAGGCATCCCCTGGTATCCCGAAGATGAATCTTACAAAGCAATTTATTAAGTTATTAGCAATATTAGTTTGTTCTAAGAAATGAAAATAGATATGGCTAACTCAAATGATCATTTTATGTGTCTTATTTGCAAATAATAAGAAGTCCATATGAATTTAAATTTGATAAATAATATATTATAGTAAATTTGAAATATAACAGGTTTTTCAGGTTATGTAAAAATAATCAATTAACTCAATATTTATCTTGTAGAGTTATTTTTAAAAAGAGAAGGTTTTCTACAATTTTTGATAAATATTGTCAATATAATTAGATAACCATAAAAACTTATAATGCATTAGAAAATAGATAGTGATCGGATAATTCATAACATTTAATTTTTAACAGCTGTCGATTTCACCAGCAGATAAATTGTTTCACCAATCAGAATACTCTGATATTAATCATTCAATATATTAAAATAAGTTCTTTATCGCAGTCATCAGGGTACCACTTCTCAACCATTGAACATAAGTAGCATATATCGAACGTTTACTCATCATAAAAGATGTTCTAGGTTCATCTTTATCAATCAATAAAAATATATTAAAAACTACCTCTCACTACATGAAATGGTCATCTTATGTTTCTAATTTGTGTGTAATAAGAAATCTAAATAAATATAATTGGAACAAAAATATATCACAGTAAATATAAAATATACCAGGATTTTCAGAGCTTGTAAAATTAATTAAATATCTCAGTATTTGTTTTATAGACATTTATTGAAAAGAAAAAAATGCTTTTTACAACTATTGGTATACATTGTTAATAAAATTGGATCAATAATTGTACATTGCATTTAACAATTATTTATAATTAAATGAAATGTAAAATATAAATATACAAGGTGATTTTTATAAAATTATAATTTATTACTAACAGTACTTTTGATAAACAATATAAACTATCGAGTTTATTAATGAGTAAACTAGCATATGTATTTATGTTAAGCATATGTAGTTAATGATAAGAACTAATATCATATTAAAAACATATTAATTCTTTTTTTTTTTAACAACACAAAAGATAGATGAACTTTAGTTTAGAAGATACTCCTGAGGACTCCATGGCTAAATGGTGAAGAACTTTGTATCTGAGGGTTTAAAAAACCTCTCATCCCTACTACCTTGTCCAGGGACCAATTAGATATTTTCACATCCCCTAATCCTCAGAATATTATAAAGAATGTTTTTCTGGTTGTAATATTAAAATAATTCCTGATAGTTCCTCCAGAAATGACGTAGGTGAAACCTCTAAGACCATGACAATTTAATGTTCATTGAACATATTATTTGCTACATTAATGATGAATATATAACGGAGGACTCATCAAGACTTGAAAATGACCCTTAATATGGTTGAAACGTCAAATTAAATAGCGTATCAATAAAATGTTTGGTGATAATTGGCCTAATTTTTGTAAAAAATAAAATATTAAAATAATTTTAAAAGAAGTCGGTACATAAAAATGCGGGTACTTATTTTTGTTTCAGGTCTGATTACACCCCCAATCATCTTAAAAAAATATATATAAATAAATAAAATACAAAAATAAATTATCAACTTCCGTTTTTTTTTTTTATTATTACTATTTATTTTTTTCTTTATAGAAAATAATCAATCATTTTGCATTATACAATAAATACATTAATAGGATATTAAGAATTATATTTTTACCAGCAAAGAAATATTGGATCTTTTTTATTTTATTTTTCAAATCTTAACTAGATATATTTAAAAATCTTTATTTAAGAACTTTCTTTAGTAAATCTATAAACTTTTACCACTGAGGTATGTGGAATATTAAATCTTAAATAGGAATGAAACAAAATTTGACTGGAATTTCAGTCAATATATTTTTATTTGATTAGCCGACTTTTTGAGCCCAAAAAATTTAATAGAATATCTTGAATGATTAAATATTAGTTTGTTACCTGTTCGTATATTGAACAAAATATCGCTGCTGATAATGGCGGCAAGATCCCGATACATCGCCTGTTTCGTTAATGCAATCTCATGAAATTAATTTACCTTTAAAATGTCTAATGTCACCAAAGAATTTTGATTTGTTCGTTAGGCCTTTCTTGCTTATGTATAACAAACACTATATTATTACTCCTCCAGAAATTTTAAAATTGAAAATCCCCTTTGATAAATTAATCTTTTCTCTATTGATTAAATCTCTATTTTAAAACGTATTTAAATACATTTCTTGAATATTCCTAGAGATAACTCATTTCCAGATATGAACTTTGTAGTTACCTGGGTGGGTAAGGTAGCAATAAATTATGGTAAACCCAAGTCATTCCAAATAATTTTTTACCGACAAACAATACTGTCAAAATGTAAGAGTAATAAGTGTAAATATAAATAATTAAAAAAACTAATAAGAAAATAATAATAATAATGACTTTTTATTAAAAATATTTTAGATATTTATTGACACTAATTGAATGATTTTCTTTTTAGAAAAAAAAAAATTATGGATAAAGATTGCCATACAATATATGCTACTGACATACAATATTGTCAGAAAGGCAAGAGGAATAAGTTCTAAGTATGTATACTTGAGTGAAATTAAATAATTTATCCTGGAAATACTGGGGTGACAGAATATAAATTCACATAATTTTTAACACAACCCGAGGATAAAACTCTATTCTACAACAAACACCAACTAAGTTGATATGCAATTAAAGCTTATTAAACAAGGAAGTTTTTATAAAAGTTGGGTGTCAGTAGGATAAAAAAACATCACCTATTATCCATGATTTAATGAAAAACTCAACTGAACGTTTGGCCGATCAAAAGTCCCCACTGAATGGTTTTAAGAAACACAAACTGTTTTTGTATTTGAAGGAAATTGTGGCTAGTTTACTATAATGCAATTTTTAATTACCTGATTTAAAAAATGTTTGTATTATCACTTATATACATTAAAGGAATTTTTTTGGTGGAAATTCTGCCTGAAATAATGTAAATATTCAGTGTTTTTTTAATATGTTAACAAATAAAAATATTATTTTTATAATAATGCTATTTAGAATAAAATAGTTTATTTTATTTGTCTAAGGAAATCTCTTAACAAAAAAATATAATGGTATAATTAACAATATTAGATCTTGAGTATAGTACAGCATTCTAATATAACATTAACAACGTCCACAGCATTAATTATGACTAATATGATAACAGATTAGTAAACGATATATATATATATATATATAAACAATTAGTAAAACATTTTTTTTCAATAATAATTTTTTTTAAAAATTTCCTAGAGTTATAAAACAAATAACAATATAAATAAGCATTAATATATGTTTATATGATTAACTATAACACTTAACAGTTCAATGAACAGCCTTGTATGAAATAATAAAGTTGATTTAATTTTTTCATAGTGACTATTTTCAGTATCTCCTCCACACTAACATCTTTCCTGGATTCAGTGGTAAATGTCTTCAAGTGTTTATTTCTTATTTCCTTAAATTTGATACATTGAATCGAAAAATGAGTCACCAGGTCAGTTACAACGCAGTTGCATGCACCACATTAAAGTATATATTCATATCTTTTAAGTATATATTCATAAAATCTTTACTTGCTACTCTGAGACGACTAACAGCTCTTAACGGAATATTACAGAAAAATAATAAATTGTGAAAATACTTACACGTAATATTTACGAGTACATGTAGATGATGATAAAAACTGAACAATAGTAAAAACGTATTAATTAATTTTTTTTTTAAATACTCAAAATATATTAAATAATGTGATTATAAGGAAATTAAAAAATATTAAGAGTACGCATCTATAAATACAATCCAAACATCAAAAATTATTCGTCTCTGGGTTTAGAGGAACATAATTGAAGTTAAAAAAACCGTCTTTTTGCAAATACAATAATGTATGCTTGTCTATTCTGAAATTGTTTTGTCTCAATTTTTGTAAATTATAATCGGGGGCACAGACACATCGGGTGTCTGTCCCATTGGAACAAACACTGCACTGAGGAATCTCACACTCAGTTCTTTCTGTTGTTGATGGATGAATTGGAGTTCTTCTTTTTCGATTTCTTCCCCTGGATGGATGAGCCTTGGCCTGAATTAGACTCTGCCTTCTTCTTTATTATTGATTCCTTTACTTTGGAATTTTCACCGGTACCAACATTTCTCGTTTCCAGCCTTCTGGGCTGGGGGGAGGCGCCTGTCTCCGGTTCTGAAAAAATTGGTGACACTCTTTTTCTGCAATCTCGGCATCGGAAAATTTGTAAAGGGAGGCGGACACAATGGGTATGAAACCGCTTCCAACAAACGTAGCACTGCACCTCACACTTGGTGATACTGTTAACTCTAAACGCGGAGGCAGCGCGTGCAAAGTCACTTTCGTCGTTGGAGTTCGGTTCGCGTGGCGGGTCCGAACCCTGGTCGAAAGAGCGTCCAGAAGACCCGCCTGAGGGATTCATGGTTAACTGGAGAATAAGTTCGTACCTGAGGCCTTAAAAATCCTCTTACCCCTACCACGTCGTCTAGGGACCAATCAGATATTTTCACATCCCAGAATATTATAAAGAATGTTTTTCTAGTTGTAACAGTAACAATTAAAAAAAAAAAATCGGTACATAATTATATCTTGTTTGTTTTCTTTCATGTCTGACTTCACTTCGAATCAACTCTTACAAAAAAAAAAAAAAAAAATCTGGTGTGTCCACTCACTCGGCTTTCCTACCTATTTCAGAAAAGTTTTTATATCTTTAAATATGTTCATCAAGAAACAAAAACAAAATTGATTTAGATTTATTTTACTGAAAATTTATCAAAGAAAAGATTCGAGTACGATTTATTTTGAAAAACAAAATCAATGTAAACCTGCTTAAAATAGATCAATGTAAACATTTCAATACTCTCCAATATTGCTGATAAAACACTTTTTGCCATAGCCTAATTTTGTCACACAATAATTTATGTTCAAAGTAGAGGAAATAGTGAAGCTTGTGTGGTGCGAGCAACAGATTTTTTTACTTTCACATAGTTATCTTTTTTCTATCATTCACCCCTTTCTGACGCCAAGATATGAATCAGTAATCTTACATTGGAAATTTAATAGCTGTAACTTCGTTAATAGTTGTCCGAAATGAACGATTTTTATATAGTTTTAATTTTATAACTTTTTTTCCTTAATTTTTTCGGGGATTTAGTCCATTTACAAAAATTGAAAGGACCATTATTAGAACATTATAGGAAAGTTTAATCAAAATCGTTAGATCTTTTTTTGCATTACAGTCTATAGAAAAACATGTTTTTATTTTATTGCGCAGCAGCTATTGCGCATTGAGAACCCAATTTGTGTCTCAAGCATCAGTAGCCAAAATCCTACAAAATAAATAAAGAAGCAATAAAATCAGTTCACTAGTTCTCGATAAAATCTTGGCACAGACAGACAGACCAATGGCTAAAACAATGTTTTTCGGACTCAAGAGGCTCTAAAACGTATAGGTCCGTCGAAAACCGAATATCGGAAATTTGACCCGATTGCAATACATTCCTTTCCTAATATAGGTAGGAAATTAAAAAATATTAACTTCAGTTTTTTAAAATTATTATTAGGTTAATCGTACTAGTGATGAACATAGATAAGGAAAATTTGGAAATAAGTTGACTGTGTATTTATAGACAAACGTGAGCAAAAGATTCCATTAAAACAAGATAAAAAAAAAAAAAAATCAATGGACATGTCTCGTAGTTTGGGTGGGCTCAGTAATGGACCCGACTGCATAAGACTATTTAGAGATGTTTTACAGAAAAACTGAGAATACCATGCGGTTTTCCGTTGTTTCTTCACTCAGAAAATTCAAAAATATGATCAATTTTCGTAAAAATGTTGAGAAGTAATAGACATGGGTGTCCATAACTAGATTTGGGCCCATTTTTAAATCAGTGATGGAACGTCATTTTCAATTAAATTAAATGCTATAACCTATTAGCTGAAGTTCTGAAATGGTAAATTGAATATTTTCATAGTGAAACTCTAAAATTTAAACACCGATGAACATTAATGTTCGACTTACTCTTAGAAAAACAGTAAGTAGTAAGATATGAAACAAATCAATCTCAAGATAACTACAGAAACAACAATAACCTTTCTAAAATCTTTTGAGGACTTTGTTCGAGCAGTTGTCAATAAAGGACCATTTAGATAAAACTGAGACCTTTAAATCAACAAGGATTCTCATTATTTAGGAACTTAATGAATTTTCGAAGTTTTAAATGACAAAATTGTTCATTTTTTGTAACTATATTTAATATATCAAATAAAGGGGTCTGTTATTTTAGTGCATTTAATGTGGGTTTTTTTTTATCGATAAATAAAGTCAAAAATCACAAAAAAACTTTCTTAAAAGTTCAGTTCAATCAATATTGTACTTCGAGAATTTTCGCAATAAACTACGTTTTATAATTTATAGTATACCTTAACCGAATTGATGCGAGTATTACTTATTGAAAAATAAGAAAAAAACGCTGCAAATTATTTCACAATGGTTTATTATTTCCAAACAATTATACATCTAAAGAAACGTTACCTTACGAGTTATAATGAAAAATAAATAAAAGGTGGTTCCAACTATTGGACTAAACTTTTTTTTTTAACCATTAGTAATATGCTTAAAAAAAATATCACTACTTCAGTAACACATTCAAAATTTAAAAACCAAAACAAAGGATATAACATTTGTAGTAGAACATATAGAAAAAAAAACTAGAGACCATATCTTTGCTCCTAATTGTCCGATTTTAACGATTTTTTAAAGGAAATTCCGTAAACATTTAAAAAACTATCGGATAGTAATGTCGATGAAAGATGATCATCCTCGGGCGACCTCTAATTTTATATCGAAATTTGAAAAAAAATCGGTCCAGTAGTTTCAGAGAAAATGCTCGGACGGCGGATGGACAAAAAAATGTTTATTAGTTTTTCGAATTATACGTATCCTCAAACGTGAAACATCAATTTTTGAGAGGCGATTAAGTTTTTGAATTTTTTGGTCGATCACAATGGTTCATTATTGAAAATAATAAACCAAAAATATATTAAAATCGTGGTATCTCTACTAATAATGCTTTGATTTCGACGAAACTTCTTTCATTTTTTTAGGAAATTTAAATACATTTGAAACATTTAATGACAATATTAAAAAAAAGTATATACTTTTTGAGTTATTCGGAATTTAATTTTACAATATCTCGTAACTTTTTTTCCAGCTTCTTTTCGTTGAAGTATATTATATAGATAAATTTAAAGAGCTTCGAGAAAATGTTTTTAGCGAAGTTTCATTGAAATCGGTACATTCGTTTAGACGCTACAGTCTTAAGGCAACGCAGGTTTTTCGGCCGCCATTTTGAAAGTAAAAGGCGGATAGTAACATCGATAAAGGAGGATCATCCTCGAGTGACATCGGATTTTATATAAAAATTTGAAAAAAATCGTTCCAGTAGTTTCGGAGAAAATTCGCAGACGGCGGACGGACAAAAAATTGTTTGTTGAATTCTACGTATCCTGAAACGTGAAACATCAAATTTTGAGAACGGGTTAAGTTTTTTAATTTTTTGGTCGATCACAATGGTTCATTATTGAAAATAATAAAACAAAAATAATGTCAATATATATTTTTAAAATTTCAGCTTGCAATTTGTTTGTGATATATTACAAAAAATAAGTTTAGCTATACTTTGTTGAATATTCTCTAAAACAAGATTCGAGTAGGTAGAAGCAAAAATGTAGAAGGTTTCACAGACTGCAGTTGTTACATTATCCACCCCAAGTAACTGTACAGAGTTCATGTTTAAAAGTTGTTTTTGAAATTTTAAAATATTTTTTTATTTTACTCTTTATAATATAAATCAAGCCAGGAAACCAATTATAATTTAAAATAAAATAAATTAAACCGAAAATTACGTGTTAGAATTAATTCACCAAAAATGTATTCAAATTCATTTTAGTAATGTTGGGTCAAAATTTGAAAGTAAAAAGCTGACAAATGGTGGAAAAGCAATAGATTATTATAATTTATTGTACTTAATGCAATGTTACCGAGTAATAATCAGGCTTTTCCAGATTGAATCTGTCCTTTAATAAAATATAGAATTCTGGAAAAAAAATAATGATAAGACTTTTAAAAAAGTGATTAAGTTTCTATTTTGGTAAAATATCTCATCAAGAAATGTATTTAAAAAATAGAAGGGAATTTAACTAATAAAATTGTTATATACCAGATATGGTACACATGTCAGAAATTTTAGATACACTAAGGATTAGTTAAAATTTTGACACCAAAACATCTCGAGTAACTCAAAAAGGAATACTGCCTCTTCAATTTTTTAAAAAGGGTCTTTGAAGGAAAAATTCGTAAACATGAGGGTTTCAGTTGGTAGGCAAATCTTTAGAGTTACAAATGTAATATTATTTAAGCTAAAGATACTGGTTATTATTTAAACAAATGGATTTAAATTATATCCCTAAAATACTCCACACAGACACCTTTTATATATATCAAACATAGCAACAACAAGCGCCCAATTTCCTCATTTTAAAATACGAAAATGCAGCTAACATTAATAGGCTACATTCAGTAGGTCACCAAATTCAACAATTTTTTTTTTCGGTGATATACATCGAAAAATATAGGATACATATCCCAGCATTCGTTCCAATTGGCCCTAGTAATGGAGAAAAAAATATTTTATATAATATAAAGCAAAATTTATGTTATATTGAATACTTAATGGTTGACCGTTGTATTTTTTGAGGAAGGAGACGGTCTGGAATTGTGTTCATAACAATACTAAAATAGTGGGAAAACTATTTTATTTCAAGCTAACGATTCCACCCAACTTTGCAGGTCTTGTTGGATATTATCAACTTGGCACTAAAAAAATTTGATGCTCTACAACTTTGACTCTTAGGGAACTTATTTCCAAGCTACAGGGCAATTTATAGAAATTTGAGTTTTTGACAAATGTGGTAAAAATAGCGTTGGTTGACCGTTGTTTATAACTTACTACGTAACAAAATTATAAAATTATGTACTCGCTCGAAGCACAATTTAATTTTTCTCTGTGATGCACCGTTTACGAGTTATAGGTGAAAAAAAACAAAAACAATATTGAAAAATTTGAATTTTTTTGCCTGTAAAAAGTTTTCCATTGGTGGTCCGGGCTAGCAATTTAATTTTTACATGTCTAAATCCATATATATAATTTTTAAAAAAATAAAGCTTTTCTCACATTTTTTTAATGGATTTCTCGTTTCGATCCTCAAATTACTGGCCTCATATTTTTTAAATCAGCCGTCATTTTCGAAAGCAGCGGCTCTGGAACGACAGACAACGTTCTTTTGACTCAGAATAACATACACTTTCGTAATTTATAATCAAAACTTCGCCTGCAATAAGGTCGATTTTTGGGCACTGGCTCCAGAACTATCAGGGCTACAA